TCTGCAGTTTTGAAACCAAACCTGAAACAGAACCAGAAAAGCCTGTGTCAGCGGAGGGACAGCGGGACTGCACGTGGTCCTTCCCCAGGACCCTGCGGTGGGGGTCTCTGCTAAATATTTTTTTTAAAGAAATACAATTTAGAAACTTGCCTCCTGAAATACCTCCCCAGCACCCCACCAGCTTCCATAGCTCTGTTTTACACTCACTAGAGCAAGTTTTGTCTCAAGCCAGTACAGACATGAGGGTGCCCAAAGTGGCATCACTACCAATCACTATTAATTTGCCTTGGTCAAAACCAACACCCCTCTGCGTTACATTCATTACCAATGTGCAGCTTGTTGCAGGAGTCACTGAGTGAAACACCCCAAGTAGGTGATGCAGAAACTCACATTAACGACTGCAAATCATGGGAGCACTCTTCAAGGTCTTATTTAGATTTTAACCAGCAACCTCAGCTAGTCTGGCCTGAAGGCACGGCTGGGATCAGCTGGGAAACGCTGAGCGTTGGCAGGGCAAGAGACAAGGGGAAACAACATGAAGTCAAAGCTTAGACTAGAAGAGGTGGCTTTAGGGACATGGAAAACAATTTTTTTTATTCATCACTTGTGGTTTATTGTATTAAACCCCCATATCAGCAGCACACCAAGGCTGAGAAGGGAGGGTTCTGCAGGGGATCCAGCAGCAGGTACGAGCCCTCTGACCATATCTCACTGCTTCTAATTAATAAAGAACAGTTAAGGGATTACATCCCGGAGTTAAAACGTGTACAGAGGGGGAGGGTGGTCTCTGCTAATGTGGTGATTTCCTTCTTATGCTTTTAAAAGATAGCTGAGAGTAAAAAATCCCCTCCAAGGCTGAGCACAGCCCGGCTCCCCGGGGCCGCACATGCCGGGCCACAGAGAGGGAAACAGTCCTAAGCATTTGACAAATTGTTTCCTGTTCAAAGCGCCTTTAAAAAATATCCACATAAAAAATAGCCCAGCGTGCAGACTGCTTGATCTTTAGCTGAATGAGGAATCTCAATAACTGAGGCTCGAGCCAGATTTTCACACACAAAATTTAAATGCGTCGTTGGCAAAATAATCCGGGATGAAAGCTCCAAATTTGTTTCAATGGCTGATGTTTTTATTGCATGCAGAAAGTGTGTCAGCAGAACATGAAAGTGACGAGCTCAAATGTCACCGGGGAAGCAGAGCTGGACGGTCTGCAGAGGAGGGGACGTTTCCCTCAGTCCCTGCGGCCCCGCTTCCCCCTGCTCCCAAACAGCAGGAGCGCAGGGACTTTCCTGCCACCCTGGGGCTACAAAACCCCTTTTCCTTTAAACTTCCCGATCCCAGCCCTTCCCGAAACAGCCGGCTTTGCCTGTTCCCGGCGCTGCCCGTGCCGAGGGAGCTCCGGGGCCGCCCGGCCGCCTCTCGGGGCCGGCTGGGGCTGCTGGGCCGGGGTTTTTTCATTGCATTGTAAGAGGGGAAAACAAGTAGGAAACCCAGGGGTGAGACAGAGAAAGAACAGCGCTGGCATCGCTGCGGGACCTGGCGAAACCGACGTGTCAGTGAGGGAGCGCGAAGCTGCTGGATGTGGCGAGTGCCAGGGTCAGTGTGCAGGAGTGAGGGGAGTGAGCCCTGCCCAGCACCGCGGGGCTGCACCCTGCCCGTCCCTGCCTGTCCCTGCCTGTCCCTGCCCGTCCCTGCCCGTCCCTGCCCGTCCCTGCCCGTCCCTGCCCGTCCCTGCCCGTCCCTGCCCGTCCCTGCCCGTCCCTGCCCGTCCCTGCCCGTCCCTGCCCGTCCCTGCCCGTCCCTGCCCGTCCCTGCCCGTCCCTGCCCGTCCCTGCCCGTCCCTGCCCGTCCCTGCCCGTCCCTGCCCGTCCCTGCCCGTCCCTGCCCGTCCCTGCCCGTCCCTGCCCGTCCCTGCCCGTCCCTGCCCGTCCCTGCCCGTCCCTGCCCGTCCCTGCCTGTCCCTGCCTGTCCCTGCCCACCCCTGCCCGTCCCTCACCTGAATGACTCTCCGGCTCAGCCCCGTCATGTCCGCCAGCTTCTGAAGCGTTTGTGCGTCGGGGTTGTTGTCCTGAGCAAACTGTGCCTGCATGACCTGTGGGGAGACGAGAGAGGGGATGAGGGGGAGGCAGGGGAGCCAAGCCCCCCCCGGCGCCCCCGGCCCAGCCTCGCTACCTGCAGCTGCTCGGCGGTGAAGGAGGTGCGGGCTCTCTTGGCCGGCTTCGGCTGGCTGTCCTGCTCCGAGGGCACAGCCCCCTCCAGCGTGATCCCGTTGCCTGCAGGAGAGAAAGATCCACACACCACAGGTCAGGAACTTCGCTGCTCACCTGCTCCTCACGCGAAATGGTCCCTCAGCTGGGGAACACAACCCCAGCACGGCAGCGTGGGGAACCAGCAGCATCCCCTGCTGCAGCAGGAGCAGAGGGGGCAGAGCTGGCATCGCTGCTCAGGAGCTGCCCCGGCTGGCTCAGCTCCTCCTGCAGACACTGCTGGCCCCAGGGTGTTCACCATCGAGTAGAGAAAAGTGCAGCAAGTTGGTGGAAAATCTGGGGAATGAGGGATGAGGAAGTGACAGCAGAAAGATGCGCTTCAAGGTGATGTCCTGCTGGCCCTGACTCTCTGTGTCCACTTGGCCATGTCCCCCAGTGGCTCAGAAGAGGACCCTGCCTCCACCCGACTCACCACATCCATCATCCTGTCTGTGCTGCTTCCAGCAACCCCATCTGCCCCTGTGGGTGCTGCCCCCATCTATCATTTTATTTTCTCAGAGCATTTCAATGGGTTCTTTGCTCCTTTGCTCAAGCCCTGAATCCTCCTGGCACCCTCACCTCCTCCTCCTGACTCTGGGAGCAGGAGCAGCTCCGTCCCCATGGCCTCAGGGTGCTCATTTCTGAGCAGCAACTACACTAAGCAGGACAAGCTGGGGGGGACTGTCCCCCTTCCCCAAGCATGGCAGCAGGGTGAGAGCAGCCACGGTCAAACAGCTACCGAGTCTGCAGGGAGGGTGGCTGGACCTGGGGTCCCTTGTCCCCACTGCAGCCCACATCATGCCCATCCCAGCTGCTCCAGGCAGTGTGGGTGAAGCAGGAAGAGTGATGGATGAGGGAGGTACCAGAGCAGGGCTGGCGCTCACCCCACTCCCAGGATGCGCCTGCACAGCCCTGCAGTCACACTGCAAACTGGACCAGGCTGTGATTGTCTTGGCTTGAGTTGAAGGACTTTCTCATATAGTTTGACTTGTTCTTTTAGGATGATGAATGGGACTCTGACTTCAGCAACATCTGTTTATTTTTCTTGTGTGTAAAACCTCATGTGCAGAAGAAATTGCTGGGTAATTACTGGAGAGGGGAGCGTGGCCCTCCAGCTCCACAGAAACTGCATTTCTCCAAAGCAATCCCATCCCCTTCTCAAAGCCAGGGGACACAAAGACACCAGTAGCTATGCAGGACACTCACCAGGTGCCTCAGCACTGTTCCAACACCAGGGGTTCAGCCCACACCAGCAGAACCCTTTCAAGCAGCAGCAAACCTACCACTCCAGCCTTCAACTGGAGAAACAGTTCTGCAGGACCCCCACGCCAGACCCTGCTGGCCCCACACCAGCCTACTCCTCCAGACCTCACAGCTTCTCCCCCCTCCATCCCTGCTCCTCTCTGTCCCTGCTCCCCATTGTCCTGCTCCTCTCCATCCCTGCTCACACCTCCACAGCACCCAACTATATGGACTGAGACACTGTGACCCACATCCCAAGCCAGAACCCTCCCAGTCCAACTGGGCACTCTGTTTTCATCCTCTCACTTAAATACTGTAAACAGAAACACTGATTATTTTCGTGTCAGGTTGTTAATGGCTTCCATGTGCTGTGTGGGCTGGGACATGGCAGTTGCCTCCCTGTGCCCACCAAGCACTAGCATGGGGTACCAAGGGCCAGAGCCCTGTGCCCAGCCCGTTGTGGTGCCCCAGCACAACCCCAGCCTGGAGGGTCCTAGGCCTTGGGACAATGGGAAGGTGGCCCTGGAAACTCCCCTTGGTGACTCTATGACTGCACAGTGTCCCTGGGCAGAACTCCCTTTGCCCACACAACATCTGTGTGATAATGCATGAGAGCAGGAGGGAGATGGACCCAGATTTGGCCTCAGCCCATGGGCAGGACCTGGCCAGGCTCCCATAGCTGAACTACCACAGCACCAAGCCCAGGAAGCTGCCTGCTCCCCCAGGCTGCTGTTGCTGCCTTATCAACAAATCTCAGGTTCTTTCCAATAAAGGACAGCTCCAGCATGGCAGGACACGGCCCGGCCTCCCCACACACCATGTCAGACTAACCCCACCCATCCATTCCTCCAAGCACACCTCTGGGCTGAGCAGTGCCCAAGGGGGACAGGGTGCTGCCTGCTTGACCTCAGTGTCACCAGTCTGACCCCACTGGCACCAGGACTGGATTGGGTCTGGCAGCACGGCCAGCAGCACGTGGTGTGGTCCAGTCCAGCTGGGAGTGGCACGTCCCTGGGCGGGCAGGGTGGGTGGAAAATGATGGGAAGGTTTTGTCGGAGCTCCAGCTTTCCCACCTTCTAGATGTGTGACTCACAGCCTCAAAATCCCAGTGGCTCCCTCACCCCTGCACGCAGCGAGTGGGCTACGGGCTCATCCCCGGCACTACCCACTGCACACAGGTCTCCCACGAGCCACAGGCACTGCCAGCACATCAGCCACCCCCAGGAGCCCTCTGCTAGCCCAGGGCTCCATGTTCAGCTCTCCCCAGGGCCGCCCATCACCCCCTTTTGGCGACGACAGGACCACCCGCCAGTGAGGCAAAGCCCGGGCCGCGGCGCTGGGGCTGCGTTACCGTTTTCTGCCGCTCGCTTGAGGTTCTCGATCATGGTGTCGTAGTGGATCCGGCACAGCACTTTCTCCTCCACCAGCCCGAACTCCTCGCCGGGGGA